CACACGCTGCCCACCCTCGAGCCCGCACACCCTCCAGCGTCCCCCTTCCCCTCAGAGGATGAGCCTGGGTGCACAGAGGGAAGTGTGGGCCAAGTTATTCTGGTTATTGGCCAACGGTGCCACCTTCGAGGAGGCTGCGGGATGGCACGAAGAGGTGTGATGGCCAAGATGAACCCGGCTGGCTGGGGAGCCACCAGGCTCCAGCAAAGCGCACTCCGGGTGCGTCCAGGTGGGTCCTGGCTGTGTGACACTGGGGCCTGCGTGGTCCCTGCCCTTCCTCTGTGTGCTCCTCCCCTGCTCTGCTCTCTGGCTGCCAGGAAGTGAGCAGCTCTGTCCCACTACACCTGTCTGTCCACCACGACGTCCCTGCCTTGGAGCCAGCCAGCCCTGGACGGAGCCCCCTGAATCCATGAGCCAGAGGAACCTCTCCTCCTTTAAGTTGTGGGTGTTGGGTGATTTATCCCAGCAACAGGAAAGCTGACTGATTAATGGGTTTCCCGAGCAAGGCTGGCGTCTCAGTTTGGGTCCCCTAGGAAGCAGGGCCAGGAGGATGTGGGCATGGAAGACACCCATTGGAGGGCCTGTGAGGGCGAGGCTGAGGCAGAAGGATCACAAGTTCAAGCCCAGCCGGGGCAACTTAGCAACTTAGTGAGACTCTGTCTCAAAGTATCAACCTTTAAAAGGCTGGGGATGCAGCTCAGGGTGGAGGCTTTGGGTTCAACCTCCAGTACTGAGGAAAATAAGCCAGGGAAAGTGCAGCCATGCTGTCAGCAGGATTGGCTGGTTTTTCTCCTTGGGCAAGCTGTTGTACCCAGGAGGTTGTGAGAGCCTGGGCTGAGGTTAGAAAGTGTGTGGCAGCTGAGACAGCTGCAGGCTCTCCTTCCCTTCTGCACTGGAACCTCAACATTCAAGTGCTTCAGTCGGGAACACCCTCCTCAGGCCAGGCTCGGGGCAAGGGCACTCCGCGGCTCTGTTTGCTGCTGTCTGAAACGGCTCCCCTCGCCGCCCCTGTCTCCACGGAGACTGCACCTGTGCAGCTTCCCCCTCTCCCTGCTCCTGCCTGTCCTGCCCCATCTCCACGGTCTCTGTCTGGGGGAGCGTCACTGGCAGTCCTCCGAGCCTTCTGTCCTGTTGCTTGCAAGGCCCCACTTCCAAAGGCAGACACGTGACCCGTGCCACCTTGACTGTGGCACCTCCTTGGTTTGTTCCCTGCACTGACGCTCTTCCCGCTGCTCAGGAGCCAGTGCTGTTTCCAAATCCTGTAAGAGGATGCACAGACCCCAGCCGGGTCACCATCCTGATACCTTCTCGTAAAATCGGGTCTTCCAGGGAATGTAAAATCTCAATGGCAGCACCTCCCTTAGCCACCTAGGCTTGTGGGTTCTGTGACTAGGAAGTGGCGTGACAGCTGAGCCTGTTCCCACGTGTTGGTGGCTCGCCGGGCTGATCCCTGGTGCTGAACGTGTCCACTTGCTGATTGGCTGAGCCCTGGACGTTACTCCCCAGCCACAGCCCGTAGGGTGGGACTACCGTGAGGGTGTTCAGCTGGGCGATTGTCCTGGGTTGCCAGGGCCATCGCCACCCCAAAGGTCTTGGCCAGAAGGAATGAGAGAAAGGAGGGGTGGCCACTGAGGCACGGAGTCTTCGAGTATCCAGGAAAGGATCAAAGGCGTGAGCACTGGCCCCTGCAGGAGACGTCCGAGGCCAAGAGCGACACAGAAATGAGGGTCCCCAGAGCCGCCCCGAGAGCCCGGCCAGTGAGGCTCTGGAAATCGAGAGAGCAAGTCTGCGCTGTGTTAAGCCGTGGAGCTCACTGCCATGGGCTACAGGGCGACTGGAAGCTGACAGGTCAGCACTCTGGGAAACCCCGGCGGCAGGCTGTGCCGCAGTGCGTCCGGTGTGCTCCTGGCCTGCCCGAGGTTCCCAGCTCCAGAGATGCAGGCCTGGAGAACAATGACCAGCAGGAGGGCGAGGAGGCGCTGCACAAACGCACCCACCCAGCAGGAGGACTCTGCCGTCCCGCATACTTCAGGGGCTGCTGAGTGCAGCCTGCGCATGGGTAGAAATTGGGCTGCAGAGAGGGGCAAGAAACAGAGTCATGCAGGGCTGAGTGACGGGCAGTGGGGTCAGCTCCGAGGCCGCAGCTGGGGCCACTCCCTGGGAGGAAAAGCCCCAGTGTCACAGGAGACGCTGGAGAAAGCCGTGTCAGTCAGCATAGCCCCTGACTCAGGCACCTTGAAGTGGGGCCCGTGTTGGCTCATGATTCTGATGTCGTGTCCAAGGCTGCCCTCACTCGGCCTCTGTGGCAGAGAAGGATGAGGAAGAGCCACGTCTCACAGCCCCCTCTGAGGGCCGCCTCTGGGTGACCTGGCGACCTCCCTCTAGGCCAGGCCTCCTGCAGGTCCACATGCCCCCAGCAACTCATCCGGGGACCACACCTTACCCAGGGGCCTGGGAACAGCAGGACAGACATGGGACAGCAGCCCTGCAGAGCATGCGCAGGTCCAGCTGGAACCTCAGAGGAGACGCAGCAGGCGCGAGGCTGAGTCCACTGTCCTTTGCCAGCCCACCCCAGGTCTCTCTGGAAGAAGACCCCCTGACAGTGCCTCTGCAGACTCAGCACTGCCCCGGGCCTCCATCAGTGCAGGGGAACAGTGTGGTCCCCTGCAGGGTTGAGGTCAGCTCGTGGATGACAGGCAGGCTCGCTGCTGCCTGGGCTCCTTCCAGCCCAGAACTTGCTTAGCGGAGCCAGGGGCCTGTTTCACAGGCTGAAAACCACCATGCCCCATGGTCTAACTGTGGTGTCCCCACCTCAGACGCTGACTTCCCAGTGGCACAGGAGGTAGGGGCTTCGGAGGTGACCAAGTCCCAGGGGGCTCCTGAATTGGATCAGAAAACTTGTGGATGTGGCCATCGGTGTACAAGGAAGCAGCCTCACCATAGGCCAAACTTGCCCACACCTTCATCTTGTTCTCCCAGCCCTAGGAACTAACTGCAGAAACAGATTCTGTTGCTTTTGAGGCCCCAGGACATGGTGTTTTGTTGAGCAGGCCCGGGGCGAGATCTGCATTTATGCAAACCAGGACACTTTCAAGAGAGAACAGTGAGGATGCTGAGAGCACAGCTATAATCAAAGCCTTCTCTGGGTGACTGGAAGGTGTGGCCTCCGGGGCTGAAAGCACCCACATATGCCCTCACCCAGGACTGGTCAGAGTTCTACAGAAGGCTTCCCCAGAGCCTGACCAATGACGTCTCTCTCCTGTTTTTGTCTTTGTTGGCCGACTCCAGATCATCTACATGGCTAGAAACGCCAAGGACTGCCTGGTGTCCTACTACCATTTCTCCAGGATGACCAAGATAATACCCGACTCTGGCATGTGGGAGGAGTACATCGAGGCCTTCAAAGCTGGAAAAGGCAAGTGAGGGAAAACTGGGCTCCTATTTCTCCTCATCTCCTGACCTCAGGAGAGAAGGTGTCCACTGAGTGACTGGGTCCACTGAGGTCCCACAGTCTGTGGAAGACACACTGCTGGTCATGTGGGGAGACTCCATGGGCAGAGTTTAGGAGCACAAACAAGGGCTGGTACAGCTTCAGGGGGAGCTCCAGACCCCTGGAGATGGGAGAGGGCCCCTCGACCTCTGCCAGAACCGACACCTGCGGTGGGAGACGTGTACACCACCAGGAGCCCACGGGAGAAGCCAGGAGGTGGCACCCCTTCCTCCACTCTTCCTGCCCCCCAGCCACCACTCCAGCCCTGTGCAAGTCAAGGCGGCCCAGTGAGAGTCGCAGGTCAGCTGGCAGCCGTGGGCAGGTTGAGTCAGTGCTGGGAGCACCTCTCCCTGCATTGCCACCCCAGACCTGGCCACAGGGCCTGGGTGCTGCAGGTTTCCAAAGTGAGACTTTTGTGAATCTCCCTGCTGGGAATATCCACTGCATGGCATAAATCTGTGCACCGTGTGGTGTGGGAGGAAGCAAGGTTCCACACCTGGCTGAGAGACTCTCTCAAGAAGAAGCAAGCTCTGGATGGATGCAAACCAAGGCACTGAGAATCTTTGTGTCAGTATCCTAAATACTTAAGAAAACAAACACCTCTGTCGTCTCCAGCCAGAGTTCGCTCTAATCTTTGTCTACCAAGGCCTCTTTATTTGAGCCAGCTGTGCTGCTGTGGCATGTTTCCAGCTGGCCCTGATGCCCTCTGTCTCCCCGCAGTGCTATGGGGCTCCTGGTACGACCACGTGCAGGGGTGGTGGGACCGCAAGGACCAGCACCGCATCCTCTACCTCTTCTACGAGGACATGAAGGAGGTGAGGCTGTGCAGCCCCATAGGAGCGCCCCCATCCCAGGACAAACATCCCAGCGAGGCCCCTGACTGGGCTGGTGCCCAGGCATGCCCCCCGCCAGGAACCTTTCCAGCTCAGTTTTAACCCCAGGAACTCTCCCCGCTCCCGTGGCCTCCCCCACGTTCCAGACATCCTTCTTCCTCAGGAGAAGCCCAGCCTATACCGTCAGGTCAGCCTCTTGGATCCCGACACGCACGAGCCTTGTCTCTCTGCTTACATCTCTCTCGGGACGTTGTGCAATCCTAGTTGTAAAGCTGTGCTCAAGAAACTTAGGGTCCACCTCCCTCATCCACACCCAGAACACCCTTCACTGACAGAGCTTTAGCCCATATAAGCACTGGTCCCACGCACTGAGACGCAGAGCAGGTGCCTGCACCCGGCCCTGGGTGAGTGGCTTTGCAGATCCACTCCCACGGTCCTGTGGAGCAGCATCTCTGTACTGCTCCAGATCGCAAAGGTACCTCCTGTGGCAACACTGAGACGCCCTCTGAAACCAGAAGCTTCCTTCCTTACCCTTTTGTGCCTTTCATCAGAAAGACACAAAGAGGGGCTGGGAATATAGCTTGGTGGCACAGTTATCTGCCTGGCAAGTGCAAGGTCCTGAGATTGATTCCTGGTACCAGCACAAAAAAAAAAAGAAGAAGAAGAAGAAAGACGTAAAGAACATGCTTTCTGGCCATACCCCTGTTGGTCTTCTGTGAAGCTCACAGACACTTTTGCCACTTCTGACAGCCCGGATCCGAGTTCCTCCCACTGACCAACCCTGTGCCCCGTTCCCTGGTCTCCCAGAAGGCCCTCCGCGGGTCTGCCGGCTCTGCCTGGCTGCAGGAAGCGTGGGCCGTCTCAGCTGGGCCTCACAGCTTCCTCTCAGGCACAGTAGGTGCCTGGTGGCGGGAACAGCTCCGCTCTTCCACTGCCTTGCACTTGGACCTCTTGAGAAATATCTGTGGACTGTGTTGGAATTATCCCTGGGCACGTCACTCCCCAAACAGAATGTCCTCCCTGATGGGAGACCCAAAAGTCTTGTTTTACATCACTGTGCCACCTGCAGGACCCAAAGAGAGAAATTCAGAAGATACTGAAGTTCCTGGAGAAAGACATCACAGAGGAAGTTCTGAACAAGATCGTCTACCACACCTCTTTTGACGTGATGAAGCACAACCCCATGGCCAACTACACCACCATGCCCGCCAGCATCATGGACCACTCCATCTCGCCCTTCATGAGGAAAGGTGAGGGCTTTGCGTCCTGAGCACCAAGTGGGACCTCAGGTGGCCGCTGAATTCTCCCTGACCTTCTCGCCCTCGGCTTGCTC